GCAAGCGCCCTTATTGAAATCCTATCAGGTGCTCGCAAAAAAAAAAAAGCTCGCGGTCGCATACTTTCCTAACAGACCTCGTACTGTGACCAAATGGTTATGCTAGTGCTTGTAACGATTTCTGAATTTTGAAATGCTTTTATTCAGACCTTAAAGAGTGCCCATGGTGTCTATATTTGTTTCTTTCTGTGTGTGGTTGTTCTTTCGGCACGATGTTGAATATTTAATCAATAAATACAGATATTTTGTATCTTGAAATCTCTATATATAGAACTATTTCGCTATCCTTTTCAAGTTCGATATATCTGGGATCGACTGTATTGTACATCTTGTCCACCGCAATATTGAAGCTGCGGCTACAATTCCCACGTAAGGTCAGTGTCCACAGCGATTCACACACGATTTTTCTAATACAGACTGTTGTATGCCAAAAGCTTGTTAACGGCAGGACTCCAAATGCTCTGCCCAATGCATAGACGAGACTATCAACAGAAATGCACACAGACACCAGCAGCCATGGCATTGACGTTTTGGCTCAACAACAGCATGGTAGTGACTGTGTCACTGCAAACGCTAGCCATCTTCTATCACCAGCGAAGTGAAATTATTCTATCACTGAACGCGAATGCCTCACACTCGTTTGGGGAATGGGCAAATTTCGCCTATATTTGAAAGGACGATCATTCATTCACTGTTATTATGGACCCCACGCACTATACTGGCTATCATCGTTGAAACACCCTACCGCACAGCTGGGACGGTGGGATTTGCGGCTACAAGAGTACTCATTCACCGTCTATGAAACAGGCCACCAAAATGCTTGTCTCGTCACCCAGTAGATCTACCAGATCTTCCCGAGAGCGGCGAGTCCACATGCGTGATGACACTTTCAACATTGGCAAACATCGGAGATGAGCAACGACATGATCCTTACTTGAAAGAGATCGTCAACCCGCTGAGTGAACCGAACACTCCTCCATCGCTCCGTATGTTTGTGCTCGATGATGGCATTTTATACCGTTACAAAATGCATCCTGACAATCCTGACTTGCTGCTGGTCATACCTACATACATGCATCAGACTGTTCTTGCGCAGTTGCATAACATTCCAACCACTGGTGATTTGGGCGTCTCAAAGACTTACAACCGTGTTCAATGTTGCTTTTTTTGGTCCGCTTTACCGCTCCTTTCATCGTTACGTAGCTTTGTGCAAATCGTGTCAGCAATGCAAAACACCGGCCATCCTTCCAGCAGGAGGCCTTCAACACATAGAGATACCACCACAACCATTTTACAGGGTTGGTCCCGACCTCGTCGGCCCTTTTCCTCTATTCATCAGAGGAACGAAGTGGATAGCAGTTGCCACTAACTACACGATTTGGTATACGATCACACTGGCTATCCTTACCAGTAGTGCCACAGATGTCGCCGACTTTCTCCTCGAAGACGTTCTACTTTTTTATGATGCTCCTCGCCAGCTGACTAAAGACCGTGGCCGATACTTTCTATGAAAGGTGCACCTACAGACTACGGATCCGCTTCCAGCCACTGCACCCGGGCAGAAGCCGTGCCGCAGGGTACGTCTTTGAACCTTGAGTGGGCCACTGAGCTAGCCTAGACCTGGCCTAGTCCCACACTCACCTCAGGAAAGCTGGCCGACGCTTGTCGTATTGAACGGTGCTCCAGAAGCCTTCCTGGCTTCTTTTTCTTTCCATGCCGAGCCTTTTCCCGCACATTGCTTCGTAGCTCGTGCCTCCTTCTTTCGCAACCCGTGCCACTTGCCCTCTGCTCATAAGTTTATATACCCACTTGCTGCTATAAGTCCTTCATGCTTATGCATCACCCTTGAAAGATCAATTATGTGTCCTTTCGCCACAATATTCCCCTACTCAAGAATTATTTAGGGGAAAACAACTTTTTACAAGCGTAGAAGGTTGAATGCGCACAAAAAAATACAAAAAAGAACAACATAAGTGACAGGTGTTCAGTCTAGTAGGTCAAAAGGTAGCACTTAGCATGGGAAACAATGATATCTCCACTGAAAGCTGCTCCCCTGGGTTTCTGTACATACCTAGTAAATATATTCTGCAGCGCCTCTTCCCCCCATAACAATACAAACATTTTGCAAGCTCACTACAAACTCATATCGTTGAGATTCTATTCTATGAGATCACAAGAGCCAATACTAGCTTCGTAGATAATGGCTGCTGCTTGTGCCAATAACCGCTATCATGTTAAATAGGAAAAAAATGAAGTGAGAAAAAACCTTCTAGAAGAAGAGGAGATTTCAACCAGGGCGCTCTTCATGACAGTGGAGTATCCTACTGCAGAGCCTCGTTAGTGCTTAGAGCTCCTTCCCAAAAATGCGCTACAAAGGTCCCTTATTGAGCAAGCAATCGTGTTAACATATAATATGGTAGAAGAGTAAAAAAGTAACGAGGCATCACACAATGCAAATCACGCAACGGGTGGGTTGCTTCCAACCTATTACAAAAGGCCACGGAGGCAAGAAAGACAGAAGGGGAAACTTCGGGGCGAGTGTGTGCCGCGATAAAGTCAACCGGAAAGAGGAGATTGGTAAACATGCACTGGAAACCTCACGGGGATGCACAGAACTATAGTTTTCTGTCGCTGTAAGAGAGCGCACGTGCCTCTGGTCTCCGACAGCACCTGGGTAAAACCCAGGTGTCGCTTGCCACATCTGGTACTGGCCGATTACAAATGTTTTTAGCTACAAGTGTTTTTAGCCAGCATGGTTTGCTAAACAAAATAAAGCATGTGTAGTACATCATCTTAGTGCCAGCACTTTCTTATTCATATTTTCGATCAGATACTCTTATTTATATTTTCCATCAGATACTCTTCAGACAACAACAAAAAGAAGAAGGTTCAAGAACTAGACGCATAGTGTAGCTTTTGCACCTTCTTCGATACAACAAAAAACTAGCATTTGTTCTAGCTCATTAACATGTCGATCAGTATGATACAGAACTACCATGCAGTGAAAGAAGACAAATTTTTGAAGCACGTCTGAGTAGACAGCAACCTTTGCAACAATAGAGAAGTGTGCTGCTCACTTCGAGCAGTCAATCAATACTTTCTAGGAAGAAACATTCAATGCTTCGCCTGACAAAGAACAGATGCAGGAATGGGTGAGGACTCTTTGAAGAGGGGATTGACCATTGAAAACAAGCAATTACGTCTAGGCAAATTATTTTCTCAGTGAATTGTCAGCAGGTGTGACATTACGCTAAGTTTACATGTTATGACATCCCTGACCAGCCTTAGTTCTTGTTGCTCCCTGAAGCGGCTCAGAGCATTTTTTTTAAAGATACTTCATTTACTCGTGCCAGGAAATGAAGCTAAGAACTGGCTAGAATATTGCTTAAACTACCCCTAAAAGCTGCGCCAAATGAGTGAAAATAAACAGTGCTCGTTACGAATCGGGAGTTTTCGGCTAACGTTCTAACAACCTCCAAACTACTTCAAGCTTCCAGGTAAGCTGCATCCCGAAAAAGCCTGCTTCTCATCTTTTCGTGTTTGGTTGCTGTAGCTCTGCTCAGAAGAATAGTTCTCACAATGTTCAAAGATGAAACAAATTTCGGCAGAGTGTCTGAGAAAAACTTTAAGTTTTTTTTTTCTTAAATATGGAAGGCACCATGGCAGTTTCTTTCATTAGCGCACGTTATGTTCCCACAAATAAAACTTTTCCCCTCGCATGTGAAGGTCGAAAAGTGGATGTGAACTTGTTTAGCACTTGTGGACAGCTCTGTGAGAGCATCGTGGTACCGGACTCATTTTCACAGCACTCTGGCTACCTTAGCGAAACCACATCGTAATGTTTTGCCACCGCGTTTACCGAGTGTATTTGAGCTATGCACTGATACACTTACCCATTGCAAGGGCGAAGCTCAAGCACCAAGCACGAGCATGCAAGCATACGACAAGAGCGGGTGCGACGCTTCTCACGTCTCCTGCACTGGCACGGTAGTTGGGCCACGTTTCTGTAAGTGGCACTGTCACGACATTCGCCACTGCTTCCCAGTGTGAGACTATCACGGTGCAGAAAGTAGTGGAGTTCCCCTTTCGTCTATTCTTGTTCTAAGCAAAAGGCTCAGCTACCATTCGTCATCAGCTACCATTCGTCATCAGTCACAGCGCAAAGTGCACGCAATGCTTAAGGGAATGATGTTTTCAAAGTTCGAGGCTAAAACAAACCCCTTGTGGGTTTATTCTGCATGCAAGGACACTCTACACGAATGGTTGGACACAGTGAACGTTTATAATATATTCTAATTTCCTTTCAAAGTACATCTAAATGCTCAATCTCCCGAGCGAAGCCCATCACAAGCGCGTCAACACTGATGTGGCTCTTTAGGAAGGGCAACTACAGTTGTAGTGATGTCACACCAGATCTGTAGTGAGCGTAGCTGTGCTCACACTTCTCTTTCGTGAGGGACGAAGGTTCATTGTCTGTTATGTCTATGTATGGAGCTGACTTTGCCAGTTCAGCGCCCTCTTTATATCATGTCACCCCTTTTCTTAGGCGACTACGGGAGTGGATGTCCCTTTGTCCACATAAATAAGGTGATATTAAATTATTTAGGGAGAATAAATTAATCTTAGTACGTGTATCATGCTTCCTAGAGATTTAAAACACGCTTGCATCAAAGAACGAGCAAGCCACACGTCCCCCCCTCCCCCCTTTAACAGTTGTGTAATGGGTATCCCACTTCTCCGCATAACGAATAATGGCATAGTGGTTGCTTCTTTGGTTCATGCAAGTTACGGTGATTTTATGGTGTAGTGGGTATCCTGCGTGCATACTTCCCTAGAGAGTCTGCAATGAGAAAGGTCCGTGTTCCAGCTTTTGCTGTGGGTTCTGCACAGGCCCGGCGATTTCCATAATCACGTCGTGGTTTTGGAACGTTAAAACCCAACAATTATTCGTATACCTCGAGGCCTCAAAAGTGGCCAACAACATACCAGAAGCTGCCCACCTGCACAGTTCGGAGCACACGCAGCACAGGTGGCCGTGCCTCGAGCAGGAAGTCCTTGAGTGCGGGAAACGTGGGCCGGTCGGCCGGTGCGTGTGCCCAGCACTGGAGCATCAGCTGATAGACGTCCCCGGGACACGCATCGGGCTGGGCCAGTCGCTCACCCAGCTGGTCTATGCGCTGCAGGATCTGGGCACCACTCAGACCGACCCAGGGCTCCTGGCCAAAACTGAATGTTTCCCACAGGGTCACCCCAAACATCCACGTGTCACTGGCATGTGAGAAGTGGCGCGACTTGAGGCTCTCTGGGGCACACCACGGAAACGGTACCTGCATGGGGAGGGCCCATTACAGTGACCCCCATCACCTGGGGCACAGCTACCATCCTTCATTCAGCGTTCTCTGGCAAGTATTTCTGGGTCAACACGCTCAATAAGCTCTTCTCAAATACACAGCACAATCCTCAACCATGGAGTACAACAATCAATGAACCATTCAACCATACAGGACATTTTTTCTACAGCTCTCTTCTTGAGGTTCCTGCAACGTCACACCTGAAGAATGAAAACAATATCTCTGCTCAACACAGCCTTAATAAATGTCAGCAGATAATGAGGCCAACGAAGAAAAGATAGAGGATGTTAATTGTACTGTTTGAAGTGCAGTGTAATAATTGTGATTTAGATAGAAAAAAAGTAAAGCCTACTGGTAAGTAGTCTTTTCATCCACTTTGCTCACTTTCTCACATAGACTGGTACAATCAACATGCTTTATACTTTCTTGGCTTCATTCTTTTCTTATCTGCCAGGATTCATTAGACTAGCTATTCGACGTTGGCTATCGTTGTGAGCTATATAGCTTGACAGAGCCTTCATATTATTTTGAGATGCTTTTCAGAAGGTGACAGTAGTAATGAAGTGTAGCTCCAGCAGCACTGTGTATGTGCCAATAAGCAGCAGAAAAGCGTTTTAGGAGATGCAAATGTGCAGAAGGCCTGGCTAGAACGACATCATGCACAATTGGTCTCTGTAACAGCATAGCTGTTTTTGATACAAGAAAGGTTCGGTAGGGATGGAAATGGGGTGAAGGAGTCCAGCAGGGGGTGCAGCAGGTTGTTTTCAACGTTGGCATTTATCGCAAGAGGCCACGTAGCGTCGAACCGACCGCACGAGACCACGGCAAAAGAAGCGGTGCCGGACGCGGTCGTATGTGCGAGATACACCCAAGTGGCCGGCAGCTGGTTCGCCGTGAAGCTCATGCAGGACCGTTGAACGGAGATGGTTAGGCATGACTAGAAGTAGCTCAAGGCCATCTAGCTGAATGCTACGACGGTACAGCAGGCCATTTAGAAGAACGAACATGCGGAGTGACACGTCGTTAGGGTCAGATTTCAGACGGGCAATGAGTGACCGCAAGGGCGGATCGCGACACTGTTCGTCACCAATCTGATGAAACCTAGACATGGACATGACGCTGGGGCCAGGCTCGCCGACCGATTCATCTGGTTGGTCAACAGGATAGTGGGACAAGCAATCGGCGTCCAGATGGAGGTGTCCAGACTTGTAGGCAACTGAGTAGGAGTACTCCTGAAGACGCAACGCCCAACAACCAAGTCGTCCAGAAGGGTCCTTCACTGAAAAAAGCCAACAGAAGGCGTGATGATCAGTGACGACAAGGAACGGGCCCTCATACCAGTAAGGGCGAAATTTCGAAACTGCCCAGACAAGGCCAAGGCATTCTCGTTCTGTTATAGAGTAGTTACGCTCCGACTTTGAAAGGAGACAACTTGCGTATGCAATCACACGATCAGCGCCCCGCTGAGTTTGGGCCAAAACTGCACCAATGCTGTGACCGCTAGCGTCTATGCACACTTCTGTAGGAGTATTTGGGTCGAAATGTGCAAGTATCGGTGGTGTCGTCAGAGCGGTGATTAGTCGAGAGAAAGCATTAGCTTGAAGAGGACCCCAATAAAATGGGACGTCGTGTTTGAAAAGGTCTGTGAGTGGGCATGCGAGTGCCGCAAAGTTTTTCACGAACCGGCGAAAGTAGGAGCAGAGGCCCACGAAACTGCGACCATCATGGGTAGAGCATGGAATGGGAAAGTTCGTTACTGCGCGTACTTTAGCCGGGTCTGGTCGTACACCGGAAGTGTCAACAAGGTGGCCTAACACAATAATTTGATGAAGACCGAAGCGGCACTACGAAGAATTCAGCTGGAGGCCGGCATGTCGGAATGTTTATAGAATGGTCCAAAGGCGTTCAAGGTGTGTGGCGAAGGTGGGTGAGAAGATAATCACGTCATCTAAGTAACACGGCAGCACAACACCCATTTAAATCTTTGAAGCAGCATGCCCATCATTCTCTCGAAGGTTGCTGGGGCATCGCAGAGACCAAACGGCATGACCTTGAATTGGTAAAGGCCGTCGGGGGTAACGAATGCAGTTTTCTCACGATCCATTTCGTCTACAGCAATTTGCCAGTAGCCAGATCAGACGTCGAGAAATGAAAAAAATGTGGCGCCATGAAGACAGTCAAGTGCACAGTCAAGTGCGTCATCAATACGTGGAAGAGAATACACGTCTTTCTTGGTTATTTTGATGAGGTGCCAATAATCAATACAGAAACGCCAGGAGACTTCTTTCTTCCTTACCAAGACCACTGGGTAGGCCCAGGGGCTTGATGATGGTTCGATGATGTCTTTCGATAGCATGGTGTCCACTTCCTTCTGAATCACTGCTCGTTCTGATGCGGACACGCGGTAAGGCCGACGGTGGATGGGCGCAGAGTCACCAGTGTTGATTCGGTGCTTGACACTATTAGTCTGGCCCAAGGGACGATCACAGATATAAAAAATGTCATCGTAGGAGGCCAAAATGCGGCAAAGAGCATCGGCCCTGATCAGGCAAAAGATCTGGCGCAATCATATTTCGAAAGATGGCCTTGGCAGAACCGGGTAATCGTGAGACTTCAGCTTGGTCCGGAACAGTTACAGCGACAACGTTTATGTCATCATCTCTTATGGCAGCGAGTTGAGCAATCGACACCTGGTAGGGCAGCACTTGAGGAATGAGGCCGAAATTTAGGAGCGGAAGAAACACGCAGTTGCCCACTATGGTGGCGATGATACGCGGCACTGTAACACTGCACGTCAGTCATGCATCTCTTATTGGTGTAACAAAGTAGTCTCCATCGAGAACTGGAGGAGTCGATGACAGACAGACGTATGTCACAGCTCGAGGCAGCAAGTGAACAAAAGTGGTTGGACCCAAGCGGCTGATGGGCTTTTCACAGGCACCAGAGAGCAGGGGAAGGTCGAGGCTGAGCGTGCCAGAAGAACAGTCAACCCAGCCGAGTGTGCCGAGAACAGCCGAGTGTGCCGAAAGAAAATCAAGACCTAGTATGAGGTCATGGGGGCAACGATCTAGAACGGCAAAAAGGACTACGGCGTGACGACCAGCAATGTTGACATGAGCAGTGCACATTCCGACAACTTCTACAGCGCCGCCATCGGCAACACTTATGGCTTGTGTCCTAGAGGGCGTCATGATCTTCAGCAAACGGCGGCGTAGATGTGCACTCATAATGATAGGTGGGCGCCTCTGTCAACAAGGGCAGTAACAGGAACATTGTCGACTTTTACTTCAATGAGACTGTGGTGTGTGAACAGCGTCAGTAGAGGATTTCCGGGCGTCGTTGGTATTGCAGCTTCACCTCCATAAGCTGTAATATGTAGTTTTCCTGCTGCGATCGTTCGGAGAAGCTCGGCGAGAAAAAGCGCCAAAGCGGCGGAGAGCGGGATTGGCGGCGTAGCGGCGACGGGGAGCGGGAGTAGCGGGGATCGGAAGAAAGGGCGGGCGTCAGTGGGGAGAGACTCATGAGGAGGCGGCGAGTAAAAGTTGGACGGTATAGCGGCTGGATGTCCAGAAGTGGTAGGGCGCATATAAGTAGGGTACCTCTGACGTGGTGTTGGACCAGCGGCAACAGCAATAACAAGAAATATGTCCAGGTTGATGACAGGAAAAGCAGATTGTCGTCAGAGGTTCGCCATTGCGTAGGGTTCCGGAAGGGAAATAATGGAGGAGATTCGCGAGCATTACCTGAGGAGTATGGGCGTACTTCAGGGTGAGTCACGGGACAGGCTGACGAAAGACCGAGATTAGCGAACTCCTGTCTTACCACAGCTTGAATTAAGGCTACCGATGGGTGTGAAGGGTCAGTGGCTTGAGTTGTACAAACAGGCTGTTGAATGGGAGCTGGACAGACAGCTTCAAGCTTCCAACGAACAATTCGGGTGACGTGGTCATAGGTGGATGGTTGGCGAGCGGCTTCACACGGTGAAGTTGCGGCCGTGTTGGGCAGTCGTGTGAATCTTTGCATAATATGGCGGCTCTTGGCGTGTTCAAACTGCCGGCACTCTTTGATGATTTTGTTGATGGTGGTGACGTTAGTGTATACAAGCAGGTTGAAGGCATCGTCGGCAATGCCTTAAGCACATTCGATACCTTCTCAGGCTCGGGCCTAAGTTCGTCAACCTGGCGGCAAAGGGGGATGACGTCGTGAATATACATGACGTAGGATTTGGTAGACGTCTGTGCCCGAGTAGCCAACTGATTTCGCCCAGTTATCTGTCATGCAGCGGTGTTCCCAAAAAAGGTCACGAATCTTCTCCTTGAAAGTGTCTGAGCTGGTAATGTCGGCTTCGTGCGTCTCGAACCACACCCGCGGAGGGCCATCAAGGTAAAAAAGCACGTTAGCAAGCATGAGTGTTGGGTCCTGCCTATAGCTGGCGCTGATCCGTTCATACATGTTGAGCCCCTTGTCAACGTCAAGGCCATCCTCTCTGGAAAATACGCCAGCATCACGAGCAGGAGGTAGGACAACGTAGGTAGGAGTCACAGAAGAGGCGGGTAATGAAGACGATGTACCTTGGACCTGTGACATGGTAGGACCCGTGATGATGCGGCCGCTGCGGAGCTTCGTGATGGGTACAGGGAAGGAAAGCACGTCCACCACAAATATGTTACGTAAAATGAGATGAAACGTGACTATTGACATGCAATTGTGTTCATTTTTAGAGTTGAGGCTACCCAGGGTTTCAGGGACTGCAACCGAGATGGGACATTGTGGCTTTCTTTCCATACAGATAGGATTTCAAACTGAAGTGCAGTGCACCTTTTACGGCACTACTTCCTAGACCCACACTGTAGACACCACACTGCCAATGTTCATTCAAGTGTATGCCCACCCATCCTAAGGACACACAACACTCCAACACCGATACAGCACTTGCTGTACAGATTTCAGTACGTGAAATGCTTGCTGCACTGTGT